TTTTTAAAGCTCAAGGCTAGAAATTTATTTTTTAGGCTGTTGATTAAATATATATAAAAATTTACCTTTGAGCTAGTAGGTTATGTAAATAGTCTCAGTAGGTAAATATTTTTTTTAGATACGGGTGACGAGACGCCTAACCACTGGGAGACTGATACTATTTTGGTAGGCAGATATTTAAGTACCTACTTTATTCAGTAGTAGCTTTTGCCTGCGGCCTCGCTCGCGTTAATTTATCCCCTTAGGGGTGGAATTTATCAAAATCCTTTCTTAGGGGATGCCTACGTCATAGTAGCTTTATCCATGTAAAGTTTCAATCCGATCGGTTTAAAATTGACAAAGTTTCATATAAACTTTCATGCCCTATTTTATGCCCTTGGGGGTAGAATTAATCAAAATCCTTTCTTAGCGGATGCCTACGTCATAATATCTACCTGCATTCCATATTTCAGCCCGATCCATCGAGTGGTTTGGGCATGTCAGTCACCTTTGAGTTATATATATTTATAGATTTAAAATAGAAATTAAAATTGTATAATTATTTATTAGTTTAAAAGGATTATAGTATTTTTTTTAACACATCCGGTCATAGACAAACATAAAATTATCATGTATATTAAAAACTCTTGACGAAATGTTTGAGCCTCGCAATAATTTAAAAAGAAAGGAACTGTGACCACTCCTGCAAAAGTTCCCGCTCTATTTTGCCTTTTTCCCGCCAAAAGGCAGAGTTTGCAATAGTGTTCGTGTTCATTACAGCGTGTGACGTTTTTCCACGATTCCGGGCGGAGGAAGTATTAAATGCAAATAACTGTCAAGAGTCGGGTACCCACGGGATTTTTATACTTTTTTTCCTGTACTCCACTCACGCTTTGTCGTAACTTTTTCCTGTAGATAGTCTTTTTTGGGATTGCTTAACGACAAAACATAATGTCCTTTCTTTAGCAAAGTCTTTTTTTTTTCTTATTTTGCTTGTATTTTTTTAAAAAAGAATGGATCATATATTTTTCACTGTATAATAAGATAAAGTGGTAAATAGGAACAAATTATAAAATACCTGTAGGACGGATCTTTGGTTACTTTTTCACGTAAAAACTATGGTACACAGTTAAAATATATTAAATATTATGTATTAAGTATATTATTATTTATAATATGAGTATAGAATATTTTATCTGTTTCGTAGACTTCTTTTATATAGTTCATATAAAAGAAGTCCACCAAAGTATAGTTCATCATTTTGAATTTTGAATTTTTTTGAAAAGTTATTTTTTAATATTATCCCACATATCTCTTCTGATCTGTTTGAGTGGGAGAAAATTGCTCAAGGTGTTAAGTCCACCAAGTGCAACTTTATTTATTGTACTTTATAATAGTTAGTGTATTAGTACTTTAAAGTATTAATATAAGTACTTACACTAACTAAGTTTGTAAACTAAATTTGTTTTTCTTTTTATTCACCTTAGTCGTTATCTAATAACATATAAAATGATCCTAAATAAAAGAACATTCAACAGTAAATATATTCATGTATTCAGCTGAAAGGCCTGGGGGTTCCATTGCAAAAACTTACAAATTGTTTTTGCCTGAATAACGTTTGCCCTTTGACTTTGCCGGTATCGTCCGTTTTTTACGGGCCGTACAAGTTAATACGGGCCGTATGAAACAAAGTTTGTGATTTCAGTTTTATTAGGTTTGTTTCAACATAAATAAGGCATTTATAACCTTTGAAGGCTTTTTAAACCACTTTTTTAAACTTTAAAACAAAAAAACAACGCAAATTAAAATAGGTGTAGGTAACTTTCATTAGTTAATGTATTTCAGAGGAGTGGGTTATAAAATTAGGAAATAAATTCCTTTGGAGTTTTTTTATTAATTTTATTATATGACAGAATAAACCTACTTCTTTCCTTAGTTTGAAAGTCAACTAATATCTAAATGTACATATATATACTAAATATATGCAGGAATGCGAATGTAAGAGGAACTCAGACATTGGTTCCTGTCTGTATCTGATAAATAGACCGGAAATGTATCCAGAATTATTTCATATAATATAAGATTTTTATATAATAAATGGTAATTGGCCAATATACCTATGTATACATGTATATATATATATAACACCATGAACTTGATGCTCGTGGCACTACTCGTGTCACAGAAATAGCACAGTAGTTTCTAAGGAGAAGGGGGCGCGTTTTTTTTAATATGGATGGCTGACGGGAAACCAGTGGAGGATGATAAGATGAGCATGAGGTCAGGTCAGTTAGCCTATCGTGACAAATTTATCACCAGGGGTAACCGCGTGGTTGTCAACCAGACCAATGATGTGACATTGATCAGGTTGACAACCACGCGCCATTAATGTACCATACATTGCTACCAATAGGGTTATTAGTCGACATTACTAACAATCCCTTCCCTCTACGCTGCAGTGGTTCGATGATTACCCGTTACGCTACAAGTTGTTTACAGCCCTACAACTGAATCATTTACATGTACAACAATATTAACAAGAAGCTTCATATATATCCTAAAAGCAAAATAAAATGCAAAAAATTGTTATTAAAGTGGTTATTAACCCTATCGTATGAGGATACCGAAGGTTTGTTGTCTGTTCTGAGGTGATAGATTAAGTTAATCTTATATATTTGTTTGATTTGTTACTTTGGTGGGATGGACAAGAGATTTTCGGTAGTATCTAAATTCTTTACACACCCTCTCTCACACACACACACACACACACACACACACAGCCACACACACACACACACACATATCATTAACTATATTATATACCGCAACTAGCGACACTTTATACAACTTTACCTCACAAAAACATTTGTTAGATCTATTAAATACCAGTAAGTCCTCGGAGAGAGCCTGGAGATCTGTAGTACAGGTTTCGACTTAGTTCAGACTCCAGACTCTCACAAGGAATAGCTTGTAAGATTAAATACATACTTTTGTTACTTTGTCAATATTGTAAGTTTCCTTGTGAGCAGTAAATAAAGATTGTTATTATCATTTCCACTACTAAACTGTCACAAGCATAACACACAGGTGCTACAGACATATTTGTAAAACGTCTAAACCACTGGCCATACTTCTAGTCACGTGACATTTGCAATTTAGCCGGCGACGGCAATAAATCGCTGCGCACGTGAGGAATGCTTCATTACGACTCACCATAGTGCAATGGCGCGATAATGTTGCAATGCGGTTGAATTGTAATCCAGATCGTGAGATAAGAACTATTACTGAATGCTGGTGATACCGCAATCACTACGGTAACGATTTGTATGCTGCAGTATTTGTTGAAATGTTACTGGCCGCATCAACTTACATACAGAGTAAAGAAAAGCTATAAGCATTATAAAGAACACATGTATAGTTACAATAAGATCTTATTGCTGAAAGCAATCTTATCAAGGTTTATTACGGACAAGCTTATTAGCGACTTAGCTAGTGCCCGCGACTTCGTCCGCATGGTATAGTGACTTTGACCAAATAAAGAAAATATAACTAGTTAGATTATGACACAAAAAAGTTTTATCATTCTATATAAAAAATGAAAATACTTTTCAGGTAGGTACAGCAAAAAGGAGATAAGTAAAAAATAACAAACTTATAATTAAAACGAAGAAAAATAATAATAAGTAATTAAATAAAATATATGTAAATAATAATAGTCATATATTAAACTAGATACACATGCACTAACTACATACCTATTATAAACTACGTAAATGGTTATCGTGCTTCTATACAAATTTAGTTTAGAGAAGGGAATGGCAACGCATGAGTGGTGCAAAGCTGCTTTTCAAGCTGTTTCAGTTGGAGGGTGAGATAAAACAGGATAAGAGAAATGGCATCTTAGATTTCTATAATAGCAACGTATTACATTATACAGAATAAGGGGGGAAGGAAATTGTTATTAATGTGGAATTTAAAATTCGCTGGTATAAACTAGTAAAGTACGACATTAAATTACACAAATATTCTGGACAGCATGAGGATTTTACAAACAAATTCGAGCAGCTATCATTCTGCCTGCGTCTAGTTTATAAAGGGTACTGTTATTGATTTTCAACCCAATCTAACAGGGAAGTACAACACTACTGTGAAGGATGGAGACCAAGATGACGAGCAAAAGTAAAACGGCACCGTTGTAGTTGAAGAATAATTGTGTATTAAATTTACTTATGTCATATAAAAACAATATAATATAATAAAAAACATAGATAATAAAAAAGGTATAAAAATAGTTCGCAACAACTACCAAACATAAACATTACCAAATAAAATCTAAACCAAGTCTGCTTGGATACATGTCTTTTTTTTATTACGCAGTGCTTTAGACCTGTAACACTATGACCTGCAGATTTATTGTGCTCGCCCTTATATATAGTTCGCTGCCCAGATATTCTTAAGAGCGATGGTTTTTATCTCCTCAAGATAGAGTGTGTACTCTCTATAGCAGATATTTCGTTTATCTGTGTAGCCTACAACCACATAGGATTCGGGCTGGTGTTTCCTAGTTAATTTGGCTAAATCTGCGATTCATTGTCTTAGATACTCGAGTATTTTAGCTACCAGATCCAGCTTAAAATGGAAATAATAGAATAGGAATTAGAAAGCAAAATATGTAATGCTATGCCATGCCATAGGCATCGCACTTTAGTTCTCAGATCTGTCCTCAAAAATACTATGAGTCATTTGTTAACAAATAGTACACTGAAACTGTCAAATAGTACATACTATCCCAATTTGTTTTAAAGTTTGATAGCAATTGGTATAACCAACCAATAAATAAACCAAGATTCGTCTTATCTTAAGTAACATCTTTCATATTTAATTCTTTCATTTGTGCCATTTTGACAACAAGGCGTAATTTTAAATCTGCTTTTAATAAATATTATTATATTGACCAAACGAACATCTGAATCATGATGAGTCATAAGTACAAAAAGACATTTTCAAATGTAATAATAATTTATTATTTAACTAATACATTTATTGTTACGTTTAAATCCACTACCCATCATCAAAAACAACCTTTTTACCTTGATACGGTAGTATACCAGATTGACGCTTCTTAGCTTCCCAAGATGGGTGCAATTTTTCTTTCTTATCCTCATTTTGATCAGATTTCATATCACTGGAATTCGAAAACTTATTACTAAGTCTTGAATTTGTATTATCATTCATATTTGACTTGCCATAACCAAACCTTGCTGTTTTACTTTCATTATTATCACTCTGGTTATTAAAGTTGTTGTTTAAATTACTATTAAATTTATCACCATTATTATAACTACTTTTATTTTGGAAATTGTCACGACGAGGTTTTATTTTAGGAACATGTCCAAACATTGCAGCTCTTCTTAGTTTTCTATTGCCTTGTTTGTGAATTTCTTTAACTTCATCAGGTTGTCTTGGCTCTGCAACTGATAAATAATTTTCTCCTGTTGCTGTAATGAAAAATGGATCTACTACTTTTGTATCAGCTACAGGGACTAAGTCTGTATCTTTCTTAAATTTTCTTAATAAAATCTTTTCATTAAAATTCTTGTTCTTATTGTCATCTTTCACTTTTTTCTTCACATGTTCAGTTGATTTCGACGGTTTTCTATTCTTACCTTTGTCAGTATCAGTATTATTCCTTTTATTATTACAGGTGATGGCATCATTTTCAAATTTATCAGGAACAAATTTAACAAATTTCCCGACATCTGCTGTCTCATTAACAGTGTTATCTATATTCCTATCTTTCGCTACAACATTAATTGCTTTCTGTGTATTTTCAGGAGAGTCATGCATATCATAATTATTTAAGCTTGTATTTTCCTCATTAGAAACTTCACTTTGATCTACAGAAGCAACATCTTCATCACCAGACTCCTCTACATCACCAGACTCCTCTTCATCGTCAGACTCCCCTTCATCACCAGATTCCTCTTCATCAGATGCTACCATTTCATCTGAGGTAGCAGTTTTAACTGTTTGTTTAAAATCAGTGTCTAATTCAATATCTCTTACTTCCCATTTCCCTTCAGAATTTACAACATTGCCTTTCTTCTTTTTATTTTTGTCATTTGCTTCTTTTTTCATCTTTATTCTCTCTTGTCGAGACATAAACAAGTCTTTTATAGGAATCCCAGCAAATCTATCTCTGATGAATTTATACTTATCTTGCAATGACTTATGTAGCAACAACCTGGCGCATGCTTTCTCCTGGTTTACATTTGGCTTATTCAAGTAGTCATTCAAACTACCTGTGTGTGTTATCATAAATTTTGCTAATTCTTTAGGTTTTATTTTCTGAAAAAAAATCAGGTATTTGTGATTAGTGAAGATATTTATAAGAGATAGTTTATAAATTAATTAAAAATAATATAAATGATATATAGTTTGAATTAGTGTTTTCATAAATAGCATTTATAGCACAAACTAAAAATAAAATCAATAGACCATATTCAAACATGACAATATTATTATGAAACCAATACATTTATGCCCAAATTATGTTATATACTGAAATTGAATTCCATATTTGATTTCAGTATATATAAATTAATTAAAAACAATATAAATGTATATATAGGATATTACAAAAAATATAATATGTGTTACATCACACATTAAATAGGATGAAAGAAAAATTTAAAAAAACATTCAAGAAGGACACAAATATAATAATAATATATGAAATTGGTCCAAACAGAAGAACATTTGTGATAGTACGTTGCTTTAAAATTAAAATCCGTAGAATTTTGTAATTTCTTGGATAACTTTATCAGTAAGTTTACCTGGACAACAGCAGTATCTGCTTTTTTTTGTTACTTTTAAATTTTTGCATCAGTTGTTAGTTCTTTACGCCATATTTTTCTACAGACCTTTTTCGTCTGCAAGTTCCGTTTTATGCTTTTCTTGTAAAGGATTTGTTTTTTTTTTTATTTTTCCACAAATTACATCCACCACAAAAACTTGTGTAAAACTGATTTGTAGATTCTGAAAAGCCTCTTTTCTTCCAAGTACCGTCACCTGACACAATCAATTCATCCTGTGGTTTTCCTGATTCTTCATTCATAGTTTTTCTTGCGTAACAGATTCACCTGACACAATCTTCTTCTTCAATAAGATGACCTGTAAATGGAATACATATTACTATATCAACAATCAAAAGCTGAAAAGATTTACGTGACCTTAATCGCATCGGAGATTAACCTCAAATGCATTTCCGATCAACGGCCTGAGTTTATAACTGATGTCACAGATAAAATAATTTTAAAGCAGTGGACTGCAGTAGACACGTCACTTTTACAAGTTTTACATATAACTATTTCAGATGATGATGATGATGATATCAACAATCAAAGATTTTTGGCCGAAGCTGTAAATACTCATTTTGTGAAATGTACACAACTAAAATAACTTCGTCAATAGAAATTTCTGTTTAAGTCTGTAGAAACGTGTCTAAACTTGTATAAACAAATATATTAATAAAAGGGAGGCCAGGTAATGTATGTCACCGCTCCGAGTTATATAAGTTTGTATAGACATGTTAAGACCTTTTTTCAACCCATCACATAGGAAGAATATGTACATGAACTACTACATGTTGCTGTGTTAAAAGTAGATGGTGATATTATTTTGTTTTGCTACTTTATGCATTTTCTAGAAATAAATCGCTTTTTAGTTTTACAATCAAACATCACTGGTTGTTATATTTATTTACCACCAGAGGATGCTTATAGGTAGCATACAAAATTACCACCACAATTTTAACATGTTAGGACTCATATATTTAAATATATTTGGTTCTAATAAGTATACTTATACATATAGTATAGTATAACTATAATGAGTTGACTGCGAACAGGGATGAATGGAAGAGAAAAACATATTACGCCGACCCCAAATAAATGGGATAAGGGAGAAGTCATCATCTTCATCTTCCTTATCCCATTTATATAGGGTCGGCGTAATATGTTTTTGATGATATAGTTTACTTAATATTATATTATTAGCCTCAAATAATTATGTATTATGGTGCTCTGACATTTAAGTGTTTATTAATTTCTATTTTTTTGTAAACTGTTAAAGTCCGTGGAACATTATAATGGGTGTAAAGAAATTTATACAGTGTTTTTAAAAATGAGGTTGTATAGTATTGAATGGACATGTGTGAGCCATAATGAACACATTTAAGGAAGAATTGATACAGTTTTAAAAAATAAAACATCAATTACCTCTGTATTAAAATCTTGTTTAACTGCACCAACTTCCATTTTTACATTTATTCAATAATATTCAGACACTTTAGTAAGGTTATGTGAGTTATTGACATGTTTCCACAACAATATAATTCAATTAAGACAGTTTAACGTTATCGCAACATTGTCATTAATTTCTAATTATGTTATTATGTAAAACAATAGTATTCATGTAAATATAAAAAAAAATTTCCATAAATGTATTTCACAAAAAATAAATATAATTTTACGAAATATTTCTACCGAAATTATCAACTTCAAAGTATGTCAAAACCTGCTAGGACTGACATATTGTCATTAATTGTCAGTCATGATGTGTCACTCATCAGTCAGTAATAAAACTCATTGTCTATGGGTCGAGAGTCGAGACATTTTTTATTTAATGTTTTACGGCTACGGGTGCCAGGTGTTGCAAACATTTTGAATAACATTAAAAGATTTTAAATTGCGAGATTTTATCCAAATTATAATCCTACAGTTAGTTAGTTTCTACAGTAGAAGTGTTAACTGCACTAACCACAATTGGTCTGTGGTACTGCCACTGTCAATTTTCTACGTAGATAGGAGTTTTATATGTATAACGAGACAGATTCGGATAAAAAAAATAAAAAAATATTCTTTTTGGTAGAATCTGTCAAACCAAGAAGTACGTAAAGAATTTTCTAATATTAATTTGTTTAAATCATAATAATCTTTTATAATTTTATGTACAGAATATTAATTTTGGTTTATAATAATAGCCAGTGTCGTTATAGGTCCATTATTTTTTTAGCTAAGGTTTATATTATTGCAATTTCAGCATGGCGCCGCGGTTTGAAATTGCTGTTGGTCTCCGAAAAGGCCATAAAACAACCAAAATATCAGCCGGCAGAAAGGGAATTACAGATAAAGCTATAAAAATCAGACCAGCAAGACTGAAGGGTGTATGTATTTATTTTTATTAAAATTTTAGGTTATGTTTGTGTTGAACAATTGACCATGACATGATTGCAATGATTTTCATTACAGTTTACGTTTTCACGAACCTCTTTACTTTTAAGTTAAACTTAAAAGTTTCCCGAAAATTATTACATTGCAATGTTTTGATATACTAAAAATGTATTTATTTACTATTTCAACGATATCCTTCATTTCATCTAAGTTTATATTTGCTGTTTAACTCTATAACAGTATAGAAACGCTACAAATTTATTTCTATTGCTATTGTTTTTCTTTTTGTAATACAAAAACTTATTTATTTTCTAACATTAAAAATAAATCCATTATTCTAATAGTGAAAAAATACATAAAATGGCTTAGATAATTATTGCACTTAACTGCACATACAGACTGGAATATATCAACCGTCATCTTTCACAAGTTACAACATCTCCTACCATAATTTCAGACCTGTAAACATTCTGTCAGTGTTAGTATAAAGTATACTATTTTACTTTTCAGCTGCAAACAAAACACTCAAAGTTTGTCCGTGACTTAGTACGGGAGGTAGTTGGCCATGCTCAATATGAAAAGAGGGCTATGGAGTTGCTGAAGGTGTGTACAATTTCAATTTTCTTAATTATGACATTTTTGAAACAATATTAGTGTATGTTCTTACTGAAATGACTATCTAAAGAGAAGAAATTGCTAGAATAAAAACATTTTTGAATTATTTGATTATTTATTAATATAGATTATTGTTTTTGTCTTCTATTAAATTTCATATCCAGTTAGTAACTAAGGATTTTCCACAAGAGAACATTGTACTGTATTCATGATTTATGAATTCTGTTTTAATTGACAAGTTGAATTTCCAAATTTTAATTGAAACTTGCTATAGTACAAAGTATTTTTTTATTTAACAAACCTAGTATATTCAATCAAAAAGATATTTTTAATTTATTATTAAGTTACTAGGTACCTGCCCCAGTCATGCACAAATATACATATAAATATTCCCCTTTAGTCACTACCTACCTATTGCTAAAACTGCATTAAAATATAGTGCATAGTTTAAAAGATCTCAGTGAACAAACAGCACAAGCAACTTCATACAAAGGTGAACTTAATAACGTAAAAATTTGCATCTCTTATATACAGTGGACATAATCAGGCCGTTCAAGTATTACATAAGCACTATGGTGGGGCAGGGGGTCTTATTTTGCATGACATGGGGAGTAGGCGAGTTTAGTCTCTTATAGTCATCTGTAGTTATTTTCTTTTTTACACGTATGGCAACCCTCACATTGTCTTTACTAAAAAAAAACAATACATTAAAAAATGTTTTACGTAAGCATAGAGGGAGGGGGTAAGAGCTTTTTTTACTTTTGCTGGCTAGGAAGATGGGGGGGGTAAATAATTGTAATAAATCTTCTTACGTAATACTTGAACGGCCCCAATATTCCATGTTGTAAAACCTATAAGCCCTATACTCAGCAAACAAATAAATTAAATTAAATGAGAAAATATTTTGATTAGGTAACACATACAGCAACAGTCTCTAAAATTGTTTTCATTATAATTTTATTTTTTTATATAATTTATTTACAGGTGTCAAAGGACAAGCGCGCGTTGAAATTCCTGAAGCGTCGTTTGGGCACACACATTCGCGCCAAGAGGAAGCGTGAAGAACTCAGCAATGTGCTGGCGCAGATGAGGAAGGCGGCCGCGCAAGCCCACCACGCCACCACACACACTAAGTGAACTGTAATAAACTAATGTAAATCCACATTTATACTTTTTATTTTACACTCATATTTCATTTGCCAACTGTTCTGTTTCCCCAGGACATGTCCTAGTTTTTGTAACGTTCCAGGACATTCTGAATAATTTTTAAGCTGTATCCTTGGTTTTTAAACTTTAACATTTAAATTATATGTAATTTATTCCATATTTTTGTACTGAAAATATGATTATATAAATTTACTAGCTTTTACCCGTGGATTCGATCGCGTTAATTTATCCCCTTAGGGGTGGAATTGATCAAAATCCATTCTTAGGGGATGCCTACATCATAGTAGATTTATGCATGCAAAGTCTCAGCCCGATCGGTTTAAAATTGACAAATTTTCATACAAACTTTCATCCCCTTGGGGGTAGAATTAATCAAAATCCTTTCTTAGCGGATGCCTACGTCATAACATCTACCTGCATGCCAAATTCCAGGGCGATCCGTCCAGAGGTTTGGGCTGTGCGTTGATAGATTACTATGTCAGTCAGTCACCTTTGAGTTATATATATATTTAGATTTAATTGCATTTAATATATTTTTAGTAAATATTAATATAGCTATAATTTAACTATAGCGATGAGAAAAAACTCAGGTCAATTAGCCCAGAAAAAAATAGATATAATAGGAATTAACCAAATTAATACTTAATCCAAAGCAAATACCATCCAATAATGTATTTATTCATTTATATATACAACAATGTTTCAAAATTAGCAATGCATAACTAGAAGTTAAGAGTTATCTCTGACAAAAGGGTCATTAATAAACCACAATGCTTTCCAGAAAAATTATTTTTATATATAGAGAAATCAAAAGTATATATATATATATATATATATATATATATTTAGCAAAGTATATAAAGGGCCAATAAATTAGTATATGATTCATTGATTCATAGAAGTACACTTACAAAGACTACAAAGGATATTTTAGCCACTTATGAATGTCAAGTTTTTTGTTAACATTCATAAGCGGTATTTAATTAATATTTTTTTCTGCCCAGTTCAAAATACAGATTCAATTTAGAAGAACTGGCAAGAAAATAAACTAATTTTTTTTAAAGCCTGTTTACTTTCATTGCGTACTTATCTATATAGGTGTCTGTCTAACGTTAAATGAAAATCTTGTGCAGGAACAACTATTGCCATAATATATTTGCCATTAAACTATTTACTAGTAACATACATTTGACGGATTTGGTGGTTTAGGCGTTTAGCACACCACCTTACTTCTGATGGTCGCGGGTTCGATTCCTCGGACGGCACAAACATTTGTATTCATGAGTATGATTGTTTGTATCCGTATGTGTGTTTTCTACGTATATGTAATTACGAAATGTCGGTGGCAAAGTATCTAGAAAAACACAGCCTTTGGAGTCATGCCTTTCATCCAGATGATCAGGATAGTATTAGTATGTAATATTATGTTATCTGTGGTATTAGGCGATAAGATAAACATGAGGTCAGGTCAGTTATCCCATCCTGATGAAATTCTCCATGAACTTTTTTACAATTCACACAGCGTCATCTAGACCCAAGTTAAGCTAGCTAAAGCTCATGGGTACTAAATAACTGATACAAATACATAACTTTTTTTTAAATACCTACAGGGAAAACACCCAGAACGATACAGACAATCATACTCATGAATACAAATGTATATGCCGTGAAAGGAATCGAACTCGAGACCATCGGAAGTAAAGCGGTGTGCTAAATTACTAGACCATAGAGACCGTAACTTATCAGGATGGTTTCCAAGGGGAACAACGGAGTTCAACCTGTCATGGTACATTGCTAGCAATGGGTTCATTAATCCATATTACTAATTAATCCCCTATTGACAATCACATAAAATATTTTTATTATTTATGTAATTTTATATGTAATAGTGTATATTAGTTTATATATTTGATATAATAATAGATATAATCCATATTATATTTGTTTTTCTTTATATATTAATCACCGCCTTATTATTATCTCTGATCAACGCGACGGTCACCATAAAATACAGTTTTGTGTCCCATTTATGTTTACTAATCCGGTTGTTTTGTAAAAGTGTATCGCTATTACATTATTGTGACGTACCTATTATATATTTATAAGAAATAGGGGGTCCTACAGGTCTCAGCGATAACCTATTTTGATAACTAACGTAAATAACGTCAATAAACTAACAAATCTGTTGAAAACAATTCAAGGTTAATATACCTATTTATAATGCAGAACAATAACAAAATTACAGCAATTACGTGGTATATATTCCATACTAATATTATAAATCCGAAAGTCTGTCGGTTTCCTATAACGGCTAAATTGATCTTAATAAAATTTAACAAAATATATATTAAAAAAGAATAGAAAAAAAGTTTCACAAGAACAGTCATTATTTATACTAATAATAACTCTGCACAATTATTCACTGCTTCATGTAATCCCAAGCTTGTTTTATGGGTATTAGAGCTAGTGATAGTAATAATTGTTTTATATTATGTACATTTACGATATACATAGAATACATCCATACCAATACAAACAAACATACTAATGAATTAGTTTGCATCGTGCAAAGAATCGAACTCGCGACCATTGGAAGTAAGGAGGTGTGTTAAACCGCTAGGCCACCGAAAACCAGACGATCCCTAAAGTGGATTTCATAGAATCAGAATTTCGTGGAACAGTCGGCAGATATCAAAGTACTATCAACTATATATTATAATTGTGAGGTTTAAAGTTAAATAAATATAAATAAATTACGTATATAGTAATAAAAGAACTATCTTCTGCCTCGTTTTTATTAAGGTCTGTGCACAATGTATACCTAATAATGACGTGTCCATGCCTCACAGCGCCATCTAGTTTCCAAACTAAACAGAACTTACTCTATACCTAAGTACTACATAAATGTTACAATTAGGTTTTTTTTCGTAAATCATTAGATACAGAAAACAGTTAGACGAGTAAAAAAAATTATACAAATTTTGTATCACACAAGAATATCACACACCCATCGAAAATAAAACGGTGTGTTAAAAAGCTACGCCAGCTAATGCAGTGAAAAGTAATATGTTCCTACTTTTGCAGTATGTATATGAATTGGCACTAGGTACCTACTTATCGCAATTGCGCATCTTACAACTTTGCTTGTTTCTGCAACTCTCCAACTCAAATTAATGACAGATAACTAGGTGCGAACTATTATGATTTGACTTGCTTCTGCAACTCTAGAATTGATAATATATTTAGAACCGCAAACCCATTGCGACTGAAGCAAAACTTAGCAATTATGTATTGAAAACCACAATTCATGGATATAATCTTTACATTAATACGCGAAGCAAAAACTTTGTACCAGAATGCTAATATATTTTTAAAGTATGCATAAAAAAACATTACTCACATTACCAGTTATTTGACACACACACTCATATAAACTCTTTTTATTAATTGCTACTCTGTGGTCAAATTGAGAATATATTAATATCATTTGTTTACAGTCTTACTGAATGTTAAATTAATTATGGTCGATCACTGGGCGACCATTATTTTAATTATTTATTCAGTGGGTTTGACTTATCATAAGAGTCTATATTTAGACCTACGTGAATAAAGATAGATTTGATTTGATTTAGGAATATATCTATTTATCTTGCAAGTCTCATAATACAAAAGTAGTTAGTTATTGTCACAATTGAGAATTATTGGTAACAGCATTAAATAATAGGACCCAAATCGTACTGGAATAACCTACCAGAGCTAGATTGTCAGTAAAAGTCTACTGCGTGAATACTACGTCTAACCTGTTTCAACCGCCAAGCAGTTTGTTTTGCTACCTGCGTTTCGGTAGTACGGTGCAGTTTAGGGGGTAAAATTGCTGGATAAGAGGCATGACATCTTAGTCCTCTGGAATATCAACGCATGTGTGGTAACACCGGTGTCATATGATCACGTTACATCGTTAGTACTGTTCATATACATAGTCGACGGTTATCCCATATCATCAGGTTGTTTGCCATTCCAATACATCAACAAAAGCATATTCGTTTCTTCTGCGGTCTACTCTAAGCTTTAACAACATATCTAACACGGTAACGGTACTACAACGAATTGTAGGGAGTCAATGGCCGATGTAGTATGCCTTTTTATGGCCGTGGGTCTTATCGACTATGAATAGGCGCTCGTATAATTATGTGACGCAATTTTCTAGTAATACCTTGTAATATTACCCTTACGTATACGAATTTAGGGGGGGGGGGGGTTGGCCCCATTACTAACAACGTAATATGTCAAGATTGGGGGAAGGGAATTGCTAGACATGTACAGGTTTACACCAGGGTGATTTCCACGCGGTTGTAATCCATTATAAAACATGTCAAGTGTTGCGGGTAAATGATACTATGTTGCTGGTCGAGACGATGTATATTACAGATGATGATAAACTGACAATGTGTACATAAAAATAATGATCTTATATACTAAATAAAAGTAGGAAAATGTAAGGTGGGGTGACACAGTTTAGATACAGCAGTGCCTAGTAGACAATATTGAATTTGTCTTACTAGACATTATTAAATGCAATTATTATTTTGATGTATCTAGGTGACTGTGTCCCATATCAAGCATACCAACATCATCCCCCTGGTGAGCGTCAAGGTTAATGCCTAGTGAATTCCTTTAATTTCCTGATGGTTTAACTGATCTGACCTTATGATCATCTTATCATGCTCCACTGGTGCTACGCCAGCGAATATTGTTAGAACAGATGTACGAGTACCATGTACCATGTACCATTATCATCCGCGCACTTAGATACTAACTGCGAAGCATACCTCTTATTTATTTTTTATGAAAAGAAATTTAACTACGTTTTGTATTAAAACAATTATGATATCTTTTTAAATATTTGCATACCTACGGGTTACTGTGTTGCATCTCATGTACTTTTATTATATCGTAAGATCCAAACCTGTACCATGTAGCAAGGAAATAAATAAATCTTATATATAAAATTCTATCACAATACTAGTTACCATCCTCCTCCGAGGCTTGACCGATTTTTTTGAAATTTTATATGCATATTCCGCACGTCTGAGACCCCTAACATGTTTTTTATTGTTTGGACAAAATTTTTTAATTATTTTTTTTTAATGTGGCACTAAATTACATACAACAGTAAATATTCGCCCTTCTACCATCCACTCTTATTTTTAATAGCGATTTTAATTTATACGGCAAAACAGCGTCTGCGGAGTCAGTTAGTTATTATGAACTTACAAAAAGATGTACCTATCTAACTATTTATATCCGTTGTCTAGTACCCATAACACAAGCTCTGCTTACCGTGGGACTGGCACTGTGTTAATTGTTAAGTGTTATTTATTACTAGCTGTACCCGCGTTAGATTTCAATATATAAATTTCAATAAATGCCTATGTGTTATTATTCTAATACATAAACTATATTACTGTAAAGTTTTATCAAAATCCGTTCATCACTTTTTGCGTGAAAGAGTAACAAGCATCCCTTTCACATTTATAATATTAGTAAGGATAATAATATCCATTCTGTATGCCTCTAAAAATCGATACGCGTCACAAAATACGTTTTGTTTGTGTAATAATGTATAGTACGATATTTCCATTGATTGTTCATAACATCGCATGTCGAGAGTGGAGACAACGCCGACGCTGCCACTCAGTAACAAACAGTTTACATCATGGCGACCTCGTGGGTCAAGTTTCAATACCTACTGATATAGTTTATGTTATGATGTAACTTGCGAGACGAAAACTGAGCCACTATGATTATGTGGCCTTATCAAATAAGATCTCATTACGAATATATATACTAGCCGTGCCTGCGGGGTCACCCTCGTGAAATTTATAGCCTATCTGTTATTCTGATGTATAAGCCATGTTATTGTTAAGTTTCATTAAAATCCGTTCAGTAGTTTTTGCGTGAAAAAGTATCAAGCATCCTTACTCACAAACTTTCGCGTTTATAATATTAATAAGATATATGTTTTAATAATTACTATTATCACAGGAATGGTTATTATACTTATTATCATAATAAAACTACTCCATTGGCATTACTCCACGCATGCAGTAAGGAGGACTGTTTTATTTTTTCAAGTCTTGGCCCATCTATGAATCATGTGACGTTGTATAAAAGGTCAGAGGACTCAGAGAAATCGTGTAAAAAATTAATTAAATCTATTAATTATTATGTTACATTTACATATCGTAACTAGCGGAAACCCGCGTCTTCGTCCGCGTAAAACTGACCTTTTTTATTCATTAAAATAAAAATATATATAAATAAAAGTAGTCGATGTTCCTTGTTACAACACTAGCTAAAGTACCGTCAATATCAGTCTAGCTATTTTAGAGATAAGCAAGAACAAACCGATAATCTATTTCTTTCTAATTATTTTTTTATTATGTATCATATATATTTTAATACGCATTTCGTCAAAAAAAATTAATATGAAATTACAACAGACACTTTACTATATTTACTTGTAATTTGTATAGACATAGAATCATGCCACAGAATATTAATTTACACAGATAAAATGAATGAAATAAACAGATTTATTTACACAATGATTGTATAATATAATTATAGTGTAAATAAATGTAGAATTACTTTACTTCATAAATAACTATCTATGAATATCATTATCAATCACATACATTACGTACTTATTTACATAAAAATATGTGTCTAAAAATATAGTTCGGAGGGCATAATACGATACATCTGTTATCTATATTTGCTTCATTGTACATGCAGGGAGTTAGAATTCTTATATTTCTTGAAAATATTTTTTTATTTTCTAGTCGAGTAACTAGAAACAAAGGGGCAAATAATTTGATATTCTTTAATGCATGGTGCATCCCTTATATGCACCGTGCACTAACTGCTATAACAATATACCTATATTTAAGAAATTACGGGCCCCAGCCTCGTGGCTAGTTCGACCCTGATCCAGCTGTTCTAACAATATGCCTACGTGGAAGATAGGTTAGGATTAGCATGAAGTCAGGTCAGTAGGCCTATAATGGCGAATTCACCAGGAATTTACTTGACGGTCTCTGTGGTCGATTTAGAACACCGCGTTACTTCTAATGGTCGCGGGTCGATTCCTCGCACGGTGCAATACATTTTGTATTGATGAAAATTATTGTTTGTATTGATCTACTTAGGTGTTTTCTATGTATATGTATTTACGAAAAAAAATGTCTATGTATTTATATCAATTGTCTAGCACCCATAACACAAGCTCTGCTTACCGTGGGACTAGATGGCGCTGAGTTGGTTGTCCAGGGTAATTTATTATTATTATTAACTACAACTAGTTTCCAAGAAGGACCACGTGGAGTACAATGAGATCATTGCTGCCCATTACTAACAATCCCCTCCCCAGCTAAATTTTCTAGTGAAAGGTCAAGGATAGGTCAAGAGCATACGTATCCTAACGTAGCTGTGTAGGCGACACTGGTACTAGTACGGCAATTAAATATGTACTTACAGTCTAGTGAATAAAAACCAGTATGATGAAGGCACGAATATATGAACCGACACATCAAAAAAGTCCTCAACGTACTTTATTGTCCGTTAGAATAGAATTAAGTTAGGCAATAATAGGTACTAACTGTATGAGAATAACGTACACCAGTCCGCAATGTCCAGCAAACACTATTTATCCTCCGCGGACGCGGAAATATTAGTCTGAGCACGTGCTAAACCTAAACACATCGTAATATTATATATGGGAAAGTGTGTATGTTTCTTTTTTTGCCTTTTCACACCTAAATGGTGTTAAAATTAATGATTATACTTTGAGGACGCATATATGCTAAAAGTCGTATAGTACCTGCATATTATCTTTTGGAGAGCAATGGTGTCTGAGATACAGGCTTGGTCTAGTTAGACACTACTACACTGGACTTGGCGCTAAATAGTTTAAAGAACTACTTGCAACTACTACATACATAATATATGGAAACTTAGTTAAGTCCATTTTGTAACTTTTTTGCACAATTAACCTATTATTATTGTATAGTAACATTACCAATTACTGGCTTTGCAACTAAGTTGAAATTTACTAATTCAAAATTAATAATTTTGTCTTAGCTGATGAAATATTTATGTTTATATTTATAGTTCTAGAATGTAAGACACGTTTTTGACTTTAATATATATATATATATAAATACCAATACAATTTCAGCTTTTCAGGATAAGTAGTTAGGTTAAACGATTTTATAATTATAGACAAAAAGAACAAATTAGGATATTTTTTTATTACTTAAAATGTAGGTGTACAGACCAAATATACATAATAATAAGTAACTCTATAAATTTAGAAAAAAAATCTCCAAATAATTTACAATAGGCTACAGACCAATCTGCCGAGTAACTTCATATATTAGCTTGGCAATTAAAATTGTATAAAATTATGCATTTCAGCAAGTCGACAGAATATCAACTTCAATAATTCCATAGTAACATCTTTACGACTTTTTATAATAAAGTTACAAAGGCCACATAATATTGAATTTATTCTTTCACAGCTAAATTTATATAACATACCTTACACTTAAAAAATCAACATTACTGTGTACTACGAGAAGTAAAGTAAATAAACTCTTAAATGAACTAAGAACTGCATTTTGAGATACATAATGAAAGACATTTTATAATAAAAAAAAATAAAGTGTCTTTTGATAAAGATAAACTAAAACTAAATATCAGATAACTCATCTGTCTCCAGTGTCAAGTGTTTCAACACAACTGCACCTATGTTATCTAGATACTAACAATAAATGCTTAGTTATGTATAATAAAAAATTTAATTCATGGCAGAATATTTCATGATGTATATGGCAAAACAATAAGTATCAGTAACAATATACTGAAAAAAAAAATATGGAACTGCTTGTAAACATTGATTTCTTTTTAAATAAGCAAGTGCTTAAGTTGTGAGTGATATATTTAGTTTTCACTTAAACTGAGGTACTTCTGTTTTTTATCACTACCTGTTTTAGTACAGTATACAGATATACATCTATATCCTACTTCAAACAAGGAGTTATTCTCACTAGGACTGTATTATGTACATTTTCTTTTTGTCAATTTTGAACTAATTTGAATTCATGTCCTAATTAATAAGGTATTAAAGTTTGTACCACACTAATGTTAATTATATTAATTTTTTAGGACTTATATCTTAATTAATAGTGGCTGTATAAATTGCTAAACATCTAAAAACTATTAGAATTGTTTATATATGTTTGTCATCTTTGCTTTAAGTAGAATTATTTCCTGAGAACATAAGATTTACCACTATATTAATGGATGTTTTACATTTATTTGAGTATATATTCTTATCACCTTTCATACTACACATGCCATCAGTAAGTTATTTTGTTACCATGGCAATAAAGTTATTGCCAAATTATAATTATCAACTTAAAAATATAAAGTTCATATGAAATTTAACAAACAAAATCAATTGTTAACAGTTAATTTGCAAGTATTAAGAAGTGTGTAAAATTACAAAATATCAATACCTAGTTTCAGTAAAATTTATAGTTACATCACAATTTAAACTTCATTTATATCAACAATAGAATTATCTCTTAACACTCCATTAAACAATGTTACATTTATCACCTTTTCATATGTAATCTTTTGTTAGTATCTTTTTTAAACATAAACAAATGTGCAAGTAAAATAAAAAGTATAAAATTAAACTAGTATGGAACATTAGAGAATAGATATGATACGGATTCCCCATTGTGGGTGCGTCTCACAGCCTCGGCTAACATCATTGATACATCAATGCACTGGATTTTGGGGCACTCCTGCATGTGCCTCTCTTGTGGGATTGTGTTTGTTACAACAACTGCCTCTAAACATGCATTGTTGATCCTCGAAATCGCTGGACCTGAGAATATACCATGAGTAAGAATAGCATACACTTTAATAGCACCAGCTTCAATTAACTTCTCTGCAGCATGACAGATGGTACCACATGTATCTGCCATATCATCAACCAAGATTGCTGTACGGTCCTTTACATCACCTACTAAAACCATACAGGCCACTTCATTGGCTTTTTTCCTTTCTTTATGGATGAGCGCAAATTCTACATTCAAACGGTCTGCAATGGATGTGACTCTTTTAGCACCACCAGCATCAGGAGACACAACAATACTTGTTTTCCAGTCTGGAATGTTTTCTTTTATCCATTTCAACACGGCTGGCTCTGCAAAGAGGTTATCCACGGGTATGTCGAAAAAACCTTGTATTTGGGAAGCATGGAGGTCCATTGTAATGATGTGATCGGCACCCGACACCGACAGAATGTTGGCAACGAGTTTGGCGGTAATTGGAGCTCTACTTTTGTCCTTTTTGTCCTGTCGCGCATAAGGGAAGCACGGAATGACGGCGGTCACTCGCGACGCAGATGCAATTTTGCATGCATTTATCATAATTAAAAGCTCCATCAAGTTGTCGTTGATTTCACCGCTGCCGCTCTGAACTATATAGACATCTTCACCGCGCACAGATTCGCCTATTTCAACGCACGTTTCCATGTTGCTAAATTTTTTCGTCACAACTTTTCCTAAATCTATGCCGAGCCGGTCCACAATTTTTTGCGCCAGGTCCGGGTGTGAACTTCCACTGAAAACTTTGATGTTCGGCATCCTGGTAGTTAATGGAAGCGCGGGGTTGTCTAATTTATTCACTACTTCTTCAAGAGTTACCGTTGATTTCATTCGCACGAGAGACCGAGACTAAACGATCTCCCTATCGTTGACCGCGTAACGTGCGACGTTTATTTAATAAATTATCAAATCAATGTCTTTATCGTTAGAAATTGTGTCTCTGACAACGTGGGTTACGACGCGCCGCGCCGCGCTGTAGGTTGTAATTAGTTATCAAATACGCATCGCACTTCACGTGCGTTTTTTACCTCGGCGTCCGTACACTCGTGTTATATTCTGCTTGTCTTCCTTTCTGTATCTAATTTTTAACCACTCCAATCACAAATTACAATTAAATTTGCAATTCATTCTGTGAATTTATTACAGACTTGGGTTATTTGCAGTTCTTTAAGTTTTATAATTTCGTTTATATCATCTTCCAACTTATTATAAAGGGTCTACACACTATACAATTTGGCTTGTCACCCAATCGATCGGGCCGATCTGTCCCGTTCTGACTGGTTCTGTTATTAAACTGGTCATACTGGTATGGTATGGCCAAAATATGAAAAAAAATAACAGATGTCATTCTGTTAATGATTTCTTCTTGAGTATTAGAGAGAGCTAGAGTCATTTTATCACTGAAACTAGTATGGTCCGTACTCGTTTCTTTCTATATCAATATAATTGTTGGATGTTCCAAATTATCCAAAGCCGTTACTGAATAAAAAAAATGTGAGTGTGAAAAAAATTCAGCCACAGTATTAAAATGTCAATCATATATTTTTATCCATTGTCATTTCAGATGTCAGTTTACTTTGTATTCTTAAATTCTTTATTTTATCGTATCGTTTATTTTTGTCTTTTGAGTGTTCGTTACTGCAAATTATCCATTTCAATTTATAAATTTCAAATGAAGTCCTTATAGTATAGGGTTTTTACAAACGCATTGTGCCAGATTGTTTGTCTCAAAATATTATGTTATCTAAAGAAAATTATGTTTATATGATTAACAGTTTTAAGAATGGAGGAAAAAGTGGATAAACTGCCAAAAAATCTTGAAAAACCCATTAATAGCCAACAAAAGCGTTTACGATGTATGAATTGGCTACAGAAACAAAACAGTTTAGAACCGAAGAAATTATGTCAGCAGAATAAGAACGATATTCAGTTTATAATACAAACTAACGCAGACAGAAAAAACTTTTTACTCTCTGTGGCTGAAGATGAAGCTACAGTTCCACCAGGAGTTGATGAATCCCCTGTTGAGCCCAAGAATGTGGTATGTTTTTTTATTGAAGATGATGAAATGGGATGAGAAATAAGTTTGAGCAGTTAACTTCTAATACAAATTTACTAGTAATTATATTTAATGAATAGGATAATATTGTCCCCTCCCCACCAATTTTTGATGGGGAAGTTACCCCTAAATGTAAAGCTGTAGTGACAGCATAACATAAGTAAATATTGCATTTTCTTTGTTAACAAAGTAGCCAAGGTAATCAATGGTTAGGATTCTCTGGAATATTTTACGATGATTAATACAATTTTTTTGTCTATATTACTGTGTAACAAGAGTAGTACTTGTTTTTATCCAAAATGTTGTGAAGGAGAAAGTAATGTAAAATATATTTTTTTTAGATAATTAAAATTGTGTGATTCAGAGATAATGTGAGTCTAGATTCTATAAAACATTGCTCTCTCCTGCAAATCAATATTATGTGTCTGGAATTTAGCACACTCTAGTGGTTCCAATGAGTTTTATTTTCACACTATATAATTATAAGTTTGATAATTTGTCTTAGTCTGAGTGTTTTCTATGTATACTATGTATTTATAAAAATAAATATTTGAGTATTGCCCAAAGTTGTGTAGTACAAGTTGTGGTTAGTTTAGAAATATATGGTGTTGTGCTAATTGTCCTGATTGTTAAACCAGTTTCTTCTGACAACTCTAATAGGTGTGGCCCATTTAGTCCTTCTCACCATTCAAAGATGCAACTTGGTTGAGAATGGAAGCAAAACTACTTGATAATTATTATAATTACATAAGACATTGAAAATAAATTGGCTTTTTTTTTTTAAAAAAAGTAATTTAATTAAGTTTCTTGGCCAGTTCTCAATAGAATCTGTACACTGAACTGGATGGTAGGGAAAAATTATAATAGAAAAATTTGACATTCATAAGCAGCTAAAATATCCCACATGAATAAATGATTTTTGAATATGAATTTAAGCATCCTCACCTAAAACAAATCATTACATAGTATAATACAAAGTTGCTGTCACTGTCTGTCCCTATGTTTGCTTAAATCTTTAAAACTATGCAACAGATTTTGAAGCTGTTTTTTTAATAGAGTGATTCTAGAGGAAGGTTTATATATATAGTAATATATGTACACCCGGGCGAAGCTGGGGCGAGTAGCTAGTTACAAATAAATAATTACCAAACTACCCATTCTTTACATACATAACAATTTGAATTTAAGTATTATGTTGCAGCCATTACATCGGTTACGTATTGACAAGCTGCGGATGGAATGTGAATGGCAAACATGTCAATGGCGCTCTTCTAAGTATGAAATATTTCAGAAGCATGTCAAAGATCACATATCCGAGGTACATGTCATTGAAAAGGATGAAGGCGGTAAGTTAAATTTAAAATGTTTTTAAAAACAAAAGATCATATATTAATGTCAATGCTCATATTAATGCTTACATATACTAACTATATTTAAATACCATATAACCTCTCAAATGGATCTCCAATTCAACTCAAATGGGGATGGAAATTACAACGGTCTGAGCCGAGGTTCGAAACCCCTAATGGTGTCTCCGTCAGGTGGGAGTTGGCCTTCAGTTGCTCCATAAATCCTTCCGCGGGTTTAAAGTGCCATCTGCACTCGTCCCCTATCATCAGTGAAGCTATAAAGGCCTGCTGCAGTAGTACATATAATTTACTTTTTTTATAAAAAGCTATGATAGTTAGGGTGACAATAGAAATCAATGAGACACACAATTATTGTTATACACCATAAGTAAAAATATAATAATAATAATATTATTAAAAAAAAAAATAATACCCAAGTATGGGTTTTAAGTTAGGGTACTGGTTTTTAAGTAATATGATCAAACAAACCTATATTTAGTTTAACTTGATGATACTAGAACAATCTTATATTAAATACATGTGACCATCAAAAGTGTTTCTAAAAATACTATTGTTTCAGCTGAATATGTTTGTCTATGGGATGTATGCGGTCACAAAACATCAGATTTTGATGAAATGGTCCGACATATAAACTATCATGCTTATCATGCTCGTTTGCTGGCCATCGGGTTTAATGCTCGAGCTACACTGAAATTATTGAGATGTAATAAGGATTCCATAAAGAGAAACCAGTTGCCAGCATTGCCCAGTATACATCGCTGTATGTGGGTTGATTGCAGTCTCACTTTTAATGCCATTCAGGTATTTTCTTTTCTATAACCACTAAACTGTTTTCTGAGGCACCTCAAGTAGAAATAGAAATAATCTTTATTCAAATAAACTCAATACAAGCACTTTTGAATAGTCATATTTTTTATTCTACCACTCAATCGGAATGCAGATTCATCACAAGAAGAATGAGTAAGAAACTTGTGTGTTGCTCTTATGAATAGATGTTTTTTTTATATAAATAATTAAACAATAACATAGGCATGCGATAATCAACATAGAAATGCTACGCACTAATTCTTAGTGCACTCAGATAATATTGTCAGCTCTATGAATTTTAAGTTTTTCTACAAAACTAAAGTGTGAGATACCACCCATTTTAGTCACAAATTATTTGGATGCACTGGATTGTTCTATGCGACTACATTTGGTTGTTACTGATTGGTGATGATTAGTGCTCATTGGTGCTGATTTGTGCCGGTTGGTGGCAGACTGAATAATGTGTGACCACTCCTTGTAATGTTATGTTTAGAACAAACAATTTTAAAAAATAATGTTATATTCTTTTATTTAAGTACCACTGGTTTAAAAACATAATGATTTTCTTAATTGCATTTTTTTTATTGTAATGTTAGGTAACACGAAAAAAATTGTTAATTGTCATAATATTTCCGTACCTGGACCAATTTTAATAATAATTTTTATTTGAAAGCTGGTGCTTCTGCTGTGAATCTATATAAATATGATCAAGACCTCACCAGTATTTTAAGATATCCTTAATAATGTAATTGTTTGGTTGATAAATTTCTCCTTGTTAGATAGAATAGTTTAGATGTTACCTGTAAATACAGGATAAATTAAGATACAAATAGTCTTTGGACGACCTTTTATAAAACCCAAAATAAATATTTGCAGGACTTCTTCGACCATGTTAAACTGCATGTCAGTTATTCTGAGATGTCATGCTCATGGGCAGGGTGTGGTGCCAAGTTCCCTCGTAGGGTGCTCCTCCAAATGCACGTGCGGTCACATTCGGGAGAACGGCTCATAGCTTGCTACCATTGTGGACAACATTTCGCTTCCAACAGAAAATTATGCGACCATTTGAGAAGACAGGTAATATTTTTTTTTATTCTGTAAAAGGACTAGGACCTGTGAAGGCCCTGATACCAATATTAAAAAAAATACATCACTAAGTCAAGAAAATGGCATTTTAACAGAAACTATTTTTAAACAGAATTATATAATATTATTAGCTAACTCAGGGTATCAGTGTTTAGCGTGTGGCGTGACACGCTGGCACGGCAGAGTTGCTCCTCATGTATTTTCTAATGAACGATGGAACTTTCCAGAACGTATACCCTAACTCGGATCACCGGTGCTCGGCGTGCGGCGTGTTGTGTGCAACGGACTACTTGCTGCGTGAGCACGCGCGGCAACATATCTCTGCGTACGCGTGTACGCTGTGTGACATGTCGGCGCCATCACCCGCCGCACTCGCACATCACGTACGCTACCGCCATCTACGTGGAGAAGGAGCGAGGGCGCACGCCTGTCCCCACTGCCCATACAGGTAAACGCTCGTATACCACGTACTCTACTGCTATCCACGTGGAGGGGATATGGGAGGGAGCGAGAGCGAGGGCGAGGGCTTTATTATATATTTTCAAGGTAATCGTATAAGGTTGTCTTTCAGTTACATAAAAAAAAAAAAATTTTTTTTATTTATTTATTTCATGCTACTAGGTTCATATTATAAATACCTTATAGACTAACATACATATGAAATAATATAAAATTAAGATATTGAAATTGTCTGTGTGATCACGGCACTGACGGCGGCAATCTGCCACGGTAGCGCCGGTACACCACACCCTTCGGCCAGTAGTCCTCCTTCATGAAGGTGGGCAGCATGTTGGTGGGGACCCGGGCCACAAACGCCTTGAAACTCGCGTTGTGGCTCGACTCCAGCTGCGTCACCCTCATTTACATTAAGAGATTACGCAGGTAACGCGGGATATTACTGACAACTGATAGTTCTTAATCATTTTTCAGAGCGGTAACAAAATGGGACCTAAATAAACATATACCAACACACACTCGAAAGAAACGGAAACGGCCTAAATCGAAAAAGTCCTCCGAAATTGATAAGTCTTCAGACGTTGATAGTGATAAGGGTCAATCGGATGACGAGAACTCGGATTTGGAAGTACAAAAGAAGGATAAACCGAAGAAGAAATATGCATGTCATATGTGTCCAGAGAAGAATATGAAGATATTCTCCAGAGGGACAAGACTGACTACACATTTGGTTAATATTCACGGCGCACAGTGGCCATTTGGACATAGTCGATTTAGGTACTTAATATTCGTAATATTAGGTGTTTAATGTACTATATTATAATATAACTAGCTGTCCCGGCAAGCGTTGTTTTGCTTTAAAAAAAAATTAGGGGTGGACTACCCCTAACATTTAGGGGGATGAAAAATAGATGTTGGCCGATTCTCAGACCTACTCAATACGCTCACAAAATTTCATGAGAATCGGTCAAGCCGTTTCGGAGTATGGGAACAAAAACGGTGACACGAGAATTTTATATATAAGATTAGACGGCAAACGTTTGGTTGCCATATAAATCGTTTCTGGATTTCTAGATCTCATCCTAAGAACAACACACGAGACTTACTCGTTCTTTTTGTGATGAGTCTGCTTTCCGAATGAGCGGTAGAATAAAAAAATATTATATGACTATTCAAGTGCTTACATTAAGTTTATTTGTATAAAGATAATTTCTATTGCAATTACTATAGTCTACTCAAAACAAGGATAAGAAAATAAAGCGAAGAGACGGCAGTAATGTCACTCTCTGGTACTTTGAGTTTAAATATATTCAGAAAAATGTGAGCATAGCAAGTGTTGCATTAATCACAAAGTCGACAGTTAATAAAGTTATTCTGACTGACTCATCTGCGATAATAATGATAATGCTATGCTAATACAAATTAGCATAGCATTATCATTATTATTACACAGCATTATAATTATTTAAAAATTCTGAACTCCCTAACAGAAATGAACCATGCGACACTTACCTTAAAAACACAGCTTGAAATAAACGAAGAAGTAGGTTGTATCGTGTGTGTTACATTGTGTAGAGGCTACTACTCGTATAGGCTGATATTTAATAATATGTATATGAATTCTAGGTATCAAATTAGTGAAGATGGCATGTACAGGCTAACTACAACACGATATGAGTTTCTGGAAGTTTCTAAGAAAATTGTAGACGGCTACAGCGGGCCTAAAGAATCCCTGAATAACGAATTCGAGTACGACTTGAAACAAGTCTCCGAAGCTACGGAAAATACGCCTAAAAGATTCGAAATAGTTCTGAAGAACAGTAACGGAGAAGAAGGCGAAGTAAATGAGGAATCAGATGACAAAACGGCGAATGACAGTGATGAAATTAATAAAATGGCAGTCGAAATAACAATGTGCGATGTAGATGAAGATGGAAATATAATAAGTTCAGAGGTTATTAATTCACACGAAATATAATGGGCGGTATTGATCTGCCGTTTCATAGTAACGGAGCTGGTGGTTGATTGATCAATCAGGGGATTACTTAGCGCTAGTTAGTTGCTTACAGATATCATTTGTAACAGATTAAAAAAGAAGTTCTTCAATTATGTATAGGCCATTTACCGACTGTATCCTTGCATGAGGTTTTCACTGATGTATTCTTAACAAGTTTACAACCAGGTAACCTAAATTAAAATAATACGTGTATCAATTCGCGAGTACAGTCAGTATTTATATTTATATATTATATAGCCACTCATTACTGTTTATAAAATGTTATGAGACTTTATTCTATGGGTGCAGCAATAATTATAATAAAATGGTGCGGTGGTTTATTTACTATTAATATATATATATATATATTTTGTATATGGCAATTAATGTTTTCGATGTTTTACACTAAATAAAAGCATGTCTTTATTTATGGAACCGTAAAATGTAATTTACCTATAATAGCTATTGTTTTTTTAATGATAATAAAACAATAAATAATATACGTTTGTACGAGTATTACGTTATTATAAATAAGGCAAAATCAACATTGTTGTGTTGAATGTATTTTAAAAGTGATATTTTATTGTGTTAAAGGCAGATTTTAATCATGGCTGGGAATAAATAAGGATTCTTGTACTGAAATCATGAGTAATGGTCATGGGAAATGATATATATATGATATTATATTTTTAGTTACGCGATCTCGTTTACTTAAAAAAGTAATAATGTTATACTTTTGTTGTACATAGTAATTGTATTGATATCTTTGGCAGCATGTTTATTTGTAACTTGTATTATCGTATTTTGTAAAATTAATTAAGTGAGAAACAAAATGTCATCGAGTGTCTTTTACTTTTTCGATAGACGACGATATTAGAAACAGTTGATGTAAAAAGTCGTTTGCCTGGGTACATCTGTCTTTTCTTTTAATGTATGATAATTGCACAAATAGTGCACCCTGGGTATGATGAGATGAGCATGGTCAGGTTAGGTCAGGTCAGCTAGCCCATCGTGTCAAATTCACCAGGAATGTAATATGATGGTTTCCAGGGCAAACTGTGTTGAGGTTGTTAGGTTGACCTCAACACAGTTCGCCTGGTATATATTTTTTATCGATGTTAATGGCATGGTGCACCCGACTGCGCTAACGGTTTACACTGGCGGGGCACCAGTGGAGGATGATAGGATGAACATGAGGTCAGGTCAGTTGGCCCATCGTGATAAATTCATTATGAATGTCTCACGATAGTTTCCAGGGGGAACCGTGAGGAGGTCAACCTGACATGGTACATTGATAGCAATGAGATTATATTATCAGTCCACATACTAATGGTATATCGCGAGCTATGGCGTTACTAATACACATTACTAATCCTTCCCCGTCGCTAAACGGCTCCTTTGTCAGATGTGCTTAGGGGGCATGGTGAATAAGACTGTGAAATTCAGGATAAGATGCATAACATCTTAGTCCTTAATGCTAACGCATTTCCTATGATAACCTGATGTCGTAGTGCTCTTCAATTATATAAGCGATGGTTACCACTTACCATCAGGTAGCCCGTTGACTTGTTTTGCCATTCCAACTATATTATATAAATAGTTAACTCTTATAATTGATGAACTGTTTTTATTTGCATGAAAACTCATGGTAGCTTCTTATGTAACAAAGTTTTTGTTATTCGTTAAATTAACGTGATTAAACTGTATTAGCAGACTCATTTGGTGTTTATAATTTTGAACAGATAGACGCTTTTACGCAAATCTATAGTTCTTATATTTGGATATTAATAACATTACATTATTATTATCCTTTTTGTTATTATTGGCAGTTGGTTCTCAAAACCTACATGCCTACATGTATTGTATTAATTTTAACATAAAACTATGTGATTATATTTCTACATATTCGGCTTTATTTCTGTATATTTGTGCTACTTTTTTATTTTACTATTCCATTTTTTAAATAAAAAGATTTTTTGTATATATTTGTATGTGTCTTTGTAAGTTTACATTTATAAAACGTGTAAATAAAATATTTTAACATATAATTTGTAACGATGTTTATTTTGTACGTCCTAAAAGACATATTTTTGATAAATACACTAACTTGCCAATAAGGGTACTAAAGGTGGAGTATCGCTTTTGTACACAAAAAAAAAACTGCTTAACTTATTTTTTATAGTAGGTATATCATATAACGTACGATCTTGCGGTGTACCTGTTGGTAAGTGATTACCACTGCCTGATAATTGAGCATTCTCAACACTAGAAGATTTGTGATCAATTGTTCTAATGTTGTTTTTTTATGTGTTGTTCCCACCTGTACTCTCCCACTAATAATAGGCATATGTCTCCTGTATGTCTATGCTTATGCCACTTGGTAAACAACCTAATGTATCTAACTTTGGGAAAAAAGACTAATATTATTATTATTTAATTTCACATTTTATTATTGTTATTATTATCTACCACATGTCACAGCTTTTGAAGCTGGTGAAAAGTACCGAGGACGGGCTATGTCAAGTGTCTCGTTAGCTTATTTTGTGTGTGATTATTATTATTATTATGTTTTATATATACCTATATCTCCCTTATTATTATTATATAAATATAATAGACGGCGCTGTTTAAATGCTTGATATAATCAATATTCACAAATATTATTCGTTATATTTTCAATATTTAAACTCCTTAAAACTGTTAATAAGTCTGTCTGCTTCGCGGAAGCCAGCTTCTACCGCGCCGTGAACGGAATTGTGCCTGTGGTGAGAAGTAGCTTCGCCCCCGAAGCATACCACGGGGAACCTGTTGCTTCGGTAGAGAGGGTCGCTTAGTTTTATTGCGTTACTGCCATTCTCTTCTGAAGCAACGCTGCGGTAGGAATATGCGCCTCTAGCTAAAGGGTTGGAACCCCATTGAGATCTGAAAGAAATTAATCTGTTAATCAGTTATGGTAATAGAATAAACGGGATCGTCTGGCGGAAAGTGGCAACTGTAGCCTATATATAGCCTTTGGATTAGGATACCTGTACCCTGTAATTCACCATATTTCACCCACAAATAAATAAATTACCCTGGACAATTAACACAGCGCCATCAAGTGCCATGGTAAGCAGAGCTTGTATCATGGGTACTAGACAATTCATAAAAATACTTATATATTCATGAAAAATACTTATATATATGATACAAACAGTCATATACATGAATACATACAAATGTTTGCACTGTACGAGGAATCGAACCCGCGACCATCGAAAGTAAAGCGGTGTGCTAAACCGCTAGACCAACAAGGCCGTCAAATCTAAACGCAGCTTCAAAAACAGGCTGCTTGACGGCTGAAATAGGTTATCAGGCAGATGGTTTCCTAGAAAGAGTATCTTGCAGAACCGATATTGCCTCAATTTTGATTCATTCGTAGTCTTTTCAATGATTTCTAAGTTAATTGTTAAGTTTGAATGTATGTTATCTAAAAAATCTTATATAGGTACCCCAAATAAGTAATTTGTATCTATTACTAGTTTTTTATTTAGGTAATTAGAATGGTAAACAAAATGACGCCGCGTATACACATGAATAGCACTACGGGCATCAGTTTTACGTACGTACCTTACGATGGACTTCACTGGAGTTACATTAAATTCTTTCTTAAAAACCACATCGAGCAATTTATTTATTCCAGATTTAACAGCTTCTAAGCTCGCATTCTCCATAATTTCCGCTCCATTCCCATAAGTCCATGCTAGAAGCACATTAGGCTGATGATCCACAGTCCACAGACCATATATTTCTGTGATCCATTTCTCGTCTTCACCGAACTTTGTCTTATCTTCGTCCCGCCATAGAACAGTAAAGTTGGCAGTCTTAGAAAACCACGATTTCTCGAATTCAATGTATATTTTGCCCAATACAGCCAATTGGAGATTATTTATGGTATTTATTTTCTCCTCTGGCAATGATGGGTTAAAGAGTGTATTGTGTCTGAAAGAAAAATAAAAATTTTAATTGGACTGAGTAGTTGAATCACTACTAATGCGTGGAATTTGAGCAAAACGTTATTTCCATTTAGATATTTATCCGACTCGAAGGACTATGAAGATGTATGAGTCTGCTGCGAACCATACAATCTGGATGCTATGATGTTGTATAAATGATAATTCCGGACTGCTTTCCAACTTAAATTATTGAGTACTCGATGCTGGACTGATGCTTTCTTATATGGATGCGAAGCGGTGTAAACTGCTGACGGCTGTACGGTGACGTACCGTAAGCCGACTGACACTAAGGCTAGTGGTGAACATACATTTCATACGCTTGCAGAAAAACTAAGGTGTTTTCTATGTATATTATATATGTATTTACAAAATGTATTTAAGTAGATACTTGTATCAGTTGTCTAGTACCTATAACAGAAGCTCTACTTAGCTTGGGATTAGATGACGTTCTATGTTTCAGGGGTTATTCTTGTTATCATTGCATGCAGTGAATTATGCAGAATAACCTGTGCATAATTCACTGCTGCATGCTGCATATATTATTGTATTATATATTATAGTGTATGTACGGTACTATAATAGAGTTAACAACATGCATAATGCATTTTTACCTCTCTTGCAAAACTCCAATAGACACAGTGACAATCACACTCTTGGCGTCATACAGACTACCATCCGTACACTTCACCTGCACCAGTGGGTTGCTGGAATCTAGCCCCGGTTGGTTGGAACTCCAGCGAATGCTTTCTACTTCTTTGTTTAACAAAATAGGCACTGGTATCTCTTTTGCGGGCTCTGGGTATCTATTCTGAAAAAATAATAATAAAGATTTCAGGATTTGTACCAGTAATAAGCGTAACTTGAATGTATTCAAGTTATGTACTACTTTGAGGTCAGTAAGACTTTTTAGATGATAATATTGCAGTACCTTAGACATATTTAGCGAAATATAAAATATGGTTTTTTACAATTACAAATTTAAGGTAAAATCCAGGGCTGGCGAAGACCCTGTAGGCGCTGCACATCATGGCTAAAAAACTTAAGATAGTGGTTCGGGATTAGCACCAGATTCCTGTTCAGAACAGTGGTGGATAAATTTAAAACACCATTATGATCCTTTTTCCCCATGATGACCCTGCCTCCGCTAACAGTTGGCGGTATAACGGTGACGGATACTAGGATGAGTATGAAGTCTGGTCTATTAATCCATCGTGTTAAATTCATCAGTAACTAGGGGAGCCACGTGGAGTGGCATCCACATTGCTAGCAATGGTGTGACTAATCCCGTTTCCTTGATGGTAAGACTAGAAAGCAATATTATGTATGTACCTACCAATAAAACGTCCAGAACTGTCTTGTATCCTCTGCCCTTCCAGTTTAGAAAAACTTCACCATCGCAGGGCCAGCACTCTTCAAGTCCCTTTAAAGACTTTCCCTTTCGAGAGTCCTTCTGTCCACCAACATGATTTGACCTTTCAAACCACTCCACGAACACCTCTGTTAATTGACCGTTATTATTCAAAACTTCATTAGTTTTAGATCTAGAAAAAAAAATGTTTTTGTACTTTTATTACTGCTAAAGAATGTTCTTGCTATTATTTTATACACATCCTGATAAATGCTAAAACTGTGGGAAAATATAATATCACTACAATGCAAGAGCAGAAATGTTTGAATAAAATCCATTACACGACATCAATGAAGACACGATTTCCAGTTAAATTGCGAAATGTTTACTTCGGTTCCCAATGTTTTGGGTAACATTTCTACATTTGCATATCATCATATATATACATATTTGTAATTTCAGAATACAGAAGTCTTAATTAAGACGCCAAGATGTAACAAACTCGTTAAGACTAAGCAAACTAAAATAGGTATTTCAAATTCGAATGCAAATGGAAAATAGTAGGTAATGTGTTACATGGCAATTTAAGCTTTGAGATCAAAATTTGAACAAACATTTGGAATATCTCTGTTAAGGTCTTTATGATGCTAAACGAAGTAAATAAAATCGCTTAATAAATAAAAAAATATGTACTCACGCCTTCCTGATATAATCGGAAATAGATTTTGTATTATTTTTGTCAGCTTTTGCGATTTCATCGTTAAGGGCTTCTGTGATAGTAGCTCCCTTCTTAGTATCTAGCACATTCCCGTTGGATAATACATAGATGTTCTCAAATGGCTCTGGTCTTCCCAGTAGATTTAAGGGGTTAGTGAGCTGGAAAACGATGTTTTCCTTTTCGCCATGGCACCTATTTTAAAGAAATTAATCTTATTATAAATAATTTTAATTTAATTTTATTTATTAATTCTATATAATTATTCTATACGTGTGTTTGTCACCTAACACGGATGGACAGATTTGGATGACATTATATGTGTATATTTCAAGGATGGTTTGGCAATACTATTGGACCGGGTAGGTGGCTGTTTATCTGGGTAGAACGACGTACAAACAGCCACTGCTGAATTCAATACTTATGTTATAAATTATTTTTAAGAAGGGTATATTAAGGTTTCTTAAGGGTCGGCAACGCGCACGTGATACCCCTGGTGTTTCAGGCGTTCATAGACTACGGTAACCATTTACCATCAGATGGGCCGTATGCTTGATTGCCACCATCATAGTATAAAAAAAAATAGAATGGTAAACAAAATGCTCTATATAAAGAAAAGTGCCATATATTTGAATTTACATTCTCGAAATTATTTGGTATCATAATTTAGAGTTACGTGTCCTACTGACCAAGTAATTAATAATAATAATCTCAAGATAATTCACACAGCGCCATCTAGACCCAAGTTAAGCTAGCTAAAGCTTGTGTTATGGGTACTAGATAACTGATACATAGACATAAATATATATTTTTTTAAATAGAAAACACCCAGACCGATACTAACAATCATACTCATGAATACAAATGTTTGTGCCGTGCCAGGAATTGAATCCGCGATCATCGGAAGTAAAGCGGTGATCTAAACCGCTAGACCACCGAGGCCGTCAATACTAATATCTTTTATTAACTGTTTCCTGTATAAAATATTACATATACCTAATCATACCTACATATAAATAATCTAATATACAGTACATGTTACAAGAGAGTACTGATACCTACAGCACAGGTGTAATACTTAGTTTAGGATATCAGGATCCTCATTTTGTATTGCGCAACTTTCTGTCATTTGATTAGAATAGAATAGAAAATCATTTATTCAAATAAACTTACATTGAAGCACTTTTGAATAGTCATAACATTTTTTTTTAATCTACCGCTCATTCGGAATGCTGTCTCATCACAAGAAGAACAAGCAAGAAACATGTGTGTTGTACTTTTAAATAATTTATTCTTACTTACAATTTAAGTTTAAGTGTGTGAATACAAACCACCGATTGGCACTAATTCAATGAAATAATAAAATAGAAAAACATTCAATACCTAGATTACCTAGCTAACTAACCTCTACTCTTATGTACTCTCCTTTTTAATTTTGTAATCTTATGGTTGTACAAATGAAGCATTATTATTATTATTATTATAGAGAAAGTAAAGATGAGAAAATGTATCTCGGTATATATAAGGTAAATATATTATTATTATTTCTGCAGTAAGTGTCAAAATCTAAGATTGATGGAACTTACCAAGCGGCGCCAATGTCAACAGTACCAGATCCAAATGGAACTGTGCATATTCTGCCACCAATTCTATCAGCAGCTTCCAGGCCTATCACCTTCAGGCCTGCATCGTGCAATCGCCTGATGGCCGCGATGCCTGATGCACCGCATCCTATCACCACTACATCCATTAATTGCCTGAAATGTGACGTGAAATTTTGGTTCGAAAATATACCAATGTGACTATTACCCTGATAAGTAGCTTAAGTATACGAGGCTGTGGGAAATTCATTCTCTGCTCCCCCCGTACTTCGGTACGTTGAAACCAATCCGTTATACATTGCAGGCCGGCACCTTCCTCGGAGCACACGCTATCTCTATCGGTCTCTTCATCTACCGCGGCGACATTATATGCAAGTGTGTGGAGGAATGTAAAAATATAATTATTAAAAAGAAGTCCCCATATACTCTATCAGTTAAGTTAGGATAAGTTGATGTAAATAAGTTCTATGTATAAATAATCCGTAGCTTAGATTTTAGAACTTAAGTTAGTTAGTAGGAGGGGGTTGTAAGTAATGTGGACTAGTAACCCCATTGCTAGCATTGTATTATTTGAGGTTGACCTCCACGTGGTTCCTCCTGGAAACTACCGCGATAAATTCATGGTGAATTTATTACGATGGACTAAATGATCTGACCATGCCTATCTTATGATTCTCCACTCCGGATGAGGTGGTTAGAGGCATTGTCTATTGTCCACGTGGTGAACAACACTTGAAATGCGCAAATTTCGTGAAACGAATACATACTCCATCTATACATATATGAATAAAAATGTGAGTGTCTATTTGTAATATTTGAAATAACCGTTTTTTACTACAAGCATATGAATATAAATACGGTACTTGCACCAAAATAACATTTTTTATAATTTTTGTCTGTCTGTTTGTTTGTTCCGGCTAATCTCTGAAATGGCTGGACCGATTTTGATGGGACTTTTATTGGCAGGTAGCTGATGTAATAAGGAGTTTTATTCTAGAAAACAAAGCTAAATTCCATGTGGACGAAGTCGCGGGTACAGCTAGTCATACATATAAATATTCAAATGTTATGTACATTACAGTACAAAGTATATTTGAATGTAAAGCAACTGAATTCGAGCTTACCACGTTCTCGCGGGTTAATTTTTGGTTACATATCGGTGTTACCTTCACTGGAGAGACAGTCATAAATACAAATTAACACAGTTTTCTCGTAAGTCGGTACGCTTTGGTGATGTAAAATAATCATATTTGGCATTACGAAAGGTCAGGTCACAGTTTGGTGGAAATAATGTTGACGCTACGTAATAAAAAATATTAGTATCTGAAAAATTCAAGGTCTCCAATTGCATGAGCTGGTATGAACACGCTGCCGCCGTGAAATATAGGTTATGATACTAGCAGATAATGTGGCTATCTATATGTGAAATAGTTTTAAAGTGTTACGTTTTAAGTGGTTAATAAAGTTTTGGCAACGCGCATGTATCACCCCTGGTGTTTCATGAGTCTGTAGGAGAAGGTATCCCCGCATACCATCAGAAAGGCCGTACGCTTGTTTGTCATCATCGTAGTAAAAAACAAAATATCAGAGATTTCCTATGACCAAAAAAATATACTTATATAAATAAAAAATATTTTTATTCTTTTTGTAATATTAGATATAAATGCGCAAAATTACTATATACTGTGTTGCGTGCAGTTTACTATAATATTTTAGTCACTATAGTATTTTACTATTATGAATTGCATTCATTAATGACTTGTGGTTAATTATTTTCATTTTTTAATGTTCAACACTTTATAAAATAAATTAAAAACAAAATACACTCACTCCACTGTTGCAGTAGTAATAGCACAGTAACTTAAAAAAATGGCACTGGAACGTGCGCTCAGAGAGATATATTTGACTATATTGTGTTTGTTTGGACCATAATATTGTGGCACTTGACCTTACACCGAATTACGCAATCGCATGATAAAATGTTAAGGCGGTGAATGTACTAGATTGTGTTTGAATTGTTCTCATCAGATTTGGATTCGTCAGCATGAATACCTTCGTTTCACTTATTTTACATTAATCCTAAAAATATACTTATAGTTCTATTCAACGTAATTAAAAACAGCACCAGCTAACTTTCTTGTCTATTATTCTTAGCCAAATCTACCTTCCGAAGTCACGCTAGATTTTTGGGGTACATATGTTTCCATGCGACTCAAAACATAGAGTCATAAAAATACTTTTTAAATATCTTTGTTGTTAATGATTAAGTTTATGTAACTAAAGCTTTTGAATTTATTTCTAAACAGAAAGAAAATATGATACAATGGTTTTAATGTATACTTGAATAAACTTAATATAAACTTTTTTAATATATATATTTTTTAATTTTGTCTCTAAAATCCATTCCGTACTGTGTTTAACACTGATATATGACAGTAAACAGGAAAATAGCAATGCACGAGAAGTATCACAGTCTCTGTGAAATATAACTTTTTTTTATTAAATTAATATATTTTTTTAAATGAATTAGCTTAAGTTCTTTCTTATAACATTAGTCATTTGCGAGTGAAAGTCCCGGCAAAATTGGTTCAGCCGTTTCATAGATTAGCAAGAATAAATAAACAGACAGACAGATTTTTTTTAAATTATGTATTTATCTAAATATCGTAAAACAATCACTTCATATGCTTTTAGTGACTTTCAATTTGAAATTACAAACGTATACTTCAACTTTATATATTTGTAATTTTGTATAGATTGTTATATGTTTATTATATTAATCGTTCTTTGGATACATTCTTGCGCTTATGACGTGATAGCTGTATGCTCTATGATAATAATTTTAACAAATATTTCTTTTAAGATTGTAGGTATAGCAAATAAATATCAGGCATATTACAATGACTTTATTTAACAGAATTAAATATTATTTCCTGTTCAGGATAACAGATGAATAATTTCTTTGTTTATTAAGTCGAACAACAATGAACAGAGTCCCAATTTAAATTCATTAATAGAATTTTGTTTGGCGATTATTATTAATATATATTGAACTAGCTGTACCCGCGGCTTCACCCGTGTGAAATTTAAGGCCTTTGTGGTATTCTGATGTATAAGCTATATTATTGTAAAGTGACAAAAAAATCCGTTCAGTAGTTTTTACGTGAAAGAGTAACAAACATTCATCCATCCGTCTGTCCATCCATACTCAGAAACTTTCGCGTTTATAATATTAGTACGATTTGTAACTACTTTTATGAATGAAATGGCAGGTTGCCGCAGTCTGTGCTAACGGTATATGCTAGCAGGTCACCAGTGGAGGATGATATGATGTAGTCACGTCAGTTAGCCCATCGTGACGAATTCATAAGGATGGTTTTCAGGGAGGACCGCGTGGAAGTCGACATTGCTAGCAATGAGAACTTTAGTCCCCGTTACTAATAATATCCTACTTCTGATCCTGAGGAAGGACCTTTACTCTTTGATCTAGAAGGACCTTGATTTGATCTAGAAGGATCTAGAAGGACCTTTGATCTTTACATATTACAAATGTCCTTTACATATTTAACATTTAATTTCAATACTCATCCTTTGTGTCTGATTGTGTAATAATGAAGTTAATCATTCAGTTAATCATCATCACCATGTAGATGATGAATTTATTTCATTATCTATATCTGTCCAGGTGAAAATTATCCTATATTTTCATTTGCGATATAATCTTTTTATGTAAAAATTTAGTACAATAGTCCAGTTGATTTTCAGTGAAAGTGTACCACATAAAACTTCTATCCATTATAATAGTTTCACAATGTTAATATAAAAAAGTATTTTCATCTAATTATAGTTGTAGTGGGTTCTGTAACCCCGATGGGATTGAAGCAGGTTAGCATAAACAGTCATCCCGGGATACGACGGGAGGGAGGCGGGGTAGAGGGAGGCCAGCGATGAGTTTTTCCAGCGGCGTACCTAATGAGCACAACCGAGACTCGACTTTCAACATTCTTAGACAAGACCGTTTGTGTCACGTAGTGTAGGTACCTAGTAAGGATCGTGGGATGATCGCACGTTTGTTATATACTCGGTCATCAATGTAGGTATATTAACAAACATGTCTGTAAATATTGCTAAAGATATAGAAATCTGATTCGAAAGGGGCGTATAGGTACAATAATAGTGGGTGAAACTGATTTCATCGATTAAGCATTTCTTAATCGATGAAATTAGTATCACCCACTCTGACTACTCCATCTAGTGTAACCGTCGTAATTAGTGGTCGAGTGAAATATCTTTGAAATAGCAATAACAATTAAACAAAAGAGTGTGTATAATATTTTTTTATTGATTTAATGTATTTTTATGCATTTTTTAAAACAAAATTAGTATTCTGCACATCTACTCTGTAAAAACTACCTATATAAGTGTGCGTCATTTCATACTCCACCATTCGCGCAATTTTCGTAAAATGGGGCTCGAAGTTTTTGCTTCACGTATTAACATATAAATTATTAGCTGTGTCCACGACTTGACTAAAATGACGAATTTACAGACAAACTTTCATCCCCTATTTTATTTTACCCTTTACCTTTACCAGGGGTAAAATTTTTCAAACTTTGAATGTCCTATTAATTTATACTCATCAATCTACTGCCTAAAAACGATACCTCCATACAGCCTTTTATCTCCCCTCTCAACCCCTCACCCCCTTTTTTCTTATTAAAAAGTAGCCTATGTCCTTTCCCAATGTCAGTCTAGAGCTTGAGAAAGGATATAGAAAATACGAGAAAGGCACATTTTTGTACCAAATTTGATTTAAATAGCTTCAGTAGATTTGGCGCGAAAGCGCAATAGACAGAGAAATAAGAAGTAACGATTAGATATTGTGTGGCCATTGCCTCCTAAACAGTTGCAATGTAAGTTCAGTTTTTATAGAGTTTGATAAGATAACACCTGCCCGGCAGGTGAAACACGTGCTTGCTGCGCGGGTGCCGGTGTCTGTACCTGAACATACTAAGATTAAGCTTATATAGAATGAGTTCCATGTGTTAGTAAGACGTAAAAACGTTTTCCGGTGCTGAAAACTTAAAACTAAAATTGCTTATTAGAAATAATTTCTTTTATATTAAAGTATTTATTATGAAAGAATAAATCCTAAGGTATTTCTAATACTACGGACTCTTAGCACTACGCAATTATCTACTTGCATTATCTATGGGTAGAATTATAGTAACGGTCAACAATTTAGGACATTAACTAGATCCTAATTAACCTTTTTATTATAAAAGTAAGTATGGGACATATTGTTTTATCTTGTATTATTTGTATCGTGCGACGAAATCAAACCCCGACCTTCAGAAGTAAAGCGGCATGCTCAACCGCTAGACCACCGAGACTATAAGTTGTTACATAATATTAAAATCAGTGTCGTCTAAGTTTATAATAAAGAAAAATATATCCTTCCATTTATAAGTTAAACATAAAAATTAGACGTTTATTTATGAGCAGGATTAATTTGGTGAAGATGACAAAGAGAGATAGCTTAAATTCAAGATTAAAATAGGCATCTGACATCATCCGTTGCATCGTCTGAACGAAAGTAAATAACAATAAAGTTGTACATATAGAGTTCATAATATGTATTTATATTTAAAGTAGCTAATTTGTATAATAATATATCAGAACTATTCACACAATGCCATCTAGTTCTAAGCTAAGCAGATCTTGTGTTATGGGTACTAGACGACTGCTAGAAATACTTACTTCCTTACATTAGAAAACATCAAAAGGAGAGATTTTTGTCAGTTCTTATTGGTTCGAATTACTTTCAAAACATACTTATTGTAATAATTAAATCACTTTCAAATTTCATTTATCGTAAGTGTCTATAATTAACATACATTAATATATATATATATTGATATGAATTGAAGTCTCAATTTCAGTATGTAATATTATTAAAAATTTCATGATTAGATCTTGCCTTAGTCTAAAATAAGAACGTATACTTTTGTTTAGTTTAGCGTAAAAATCTGGTTTAACAAATCTGCTTATGTTTTACTGGCCTAATTTGAAACAGACAGAACAACAATCAGGTCTAAATTCCAAGGATAGAGACGGATACATTGACGTCACTAAAAATTACAGGATTACATCTCGTACAGCTAGGTCATCGTTTGAGAGAGTCATAGCGCAGTATTTACTGCCCTGAGGTAGACTTAAAGGTCATGATTTTGAATCTGGTCGCCAGCAAAAAATATTGCCATTTTATATTTCCGACTGACTCTATGGTGTTGTAAACACTAATAACAACATAATAAACCGGGTTATCCGCACTCCCTAAGAGGGTGAAATTGGGGCCTTGAGAGTCTTTGCCCCGGCATCGATTCCGGGGGCAACAACCCCCGGGGACTGGATTGAAGGCCTTTTATATGGTCAGGAAATTTTGTAATTAATAACATCAGGAAATTATTACGAGAGACCTCACCAAGCTCGTCTCCTGTCATGTAGGAAAAAATATGCCCAGTGCAATTTGGGCATATCTAGTAATAATATTGATAGTTATTACCTTACTGTGTACCTACTCTATGATACTGATTTTATTTATTTATTTTTATATACACATCGTCAACGTATAAATATCTGTTCATTTGACATCACTGGTTTGCTATTGCAGGTTTCATTTTGAAAAGGGCATTAACTGAACAAGTATTGAAAGTATAAATGGAAATGTAGTGATAGTCGTTATATTTACGAAATTGATCAACTTTTCTCAAGGATGATCAGAGGTCGGAACGAAACAGATAAAAAATGACCCTTTCTTACAAAAGACGCGGTCATGATCGATGATTTGATTCAATGTGAAAGGTTCAAAATAAAATAATAATTTATAACATTCTTCATTATCTAAACGTTAATAATTTAGTATTTGATTACTTCTAACATCAAAACATACAGTAATCAAAGAAGATATTATCTATTACTAATATGTAGACTAAAATAATATTGATACAAAATCTTGCACTTGTGTTTTCTATTCTGAAGCGTTTGCTGTGTAAACAAACTAATTGAAAGTATTATGTTTACAAAACAATACTAGACTGTGTCAATAGGTTTGTTTAACCAATTCATACGATTGTCTTTCGAGTGGCATTACTCTATTGTTGGGGTAAGTTAGGTAGCGAACCCTGGCAGTTAGTGGAGTGCAGTACGCACCCTGCACCAGTGTGATTGACATAATTACGCGCAGACGCAGGTAAAATTGTGAGGGGGGCTCGAGGAGTGATCTGATCAGTCGACTCGCGTACGTCGCCCGTGCGGTCGTGTCGCGTTTTACAATAACGGTACTCGAAACCGGCCCGAATGCCGGAGAACCAGTCGGCGGGATGGCGGGTCTCGGCGTGAGAACTGCGCTATGTTGAAGCATGCGACGCGGCCGCCGGCGGCGAACGATGCCGACCACCGCTACCAGAACATGCCGCGGCGGCCGCACCACCACCTGCCCCTCAACGTCTCCACCTTAGACTCTTCCAAGCATTCCATTGGTGGAACGTCCGCGAGCGTCAGCCCTGGAGCGCAGCCGCCTAATCCAACAATCGCTCCTGTGTCCGTCGTCGCTCCAATCCCAGTGGCTTCACCTCAAAAGATAGCTAATGGAACTGCTGGTCTACCGGTGACTAGACCAGCTACCAGTAGATCGAGGAGCAACCGAGCGGCGACTGAGGAAGCTTTAACTTCTCTAGCTTTATTGTGTCTGGTCAGCCTACTGTTAGCGTTGCTGGCCCTCTTGTTCTTGCTGAAAATATCAGCACCAGCGACAAGTGCCCCCGAGGAGTTTGCAGTGGTGTACGAAGTGACGTTAGCATTATGTGCGTTGACACTATCATTGAACCTTTGCTGTCTTCTAGTGTGTGCAATACAGTTTCTATTCGCCGTGAAGTTAGTGCATTCTCCATCAGCACCGAACGGCCGGTAAGTTTGCTAAATCGTTTTAATGAATCTCACAGTCATTTCAAATTAGGATCATCAATCAGTTTACAGTTTCGGAGCCCATAGGTGCGCCTTAACCGTTAAGAATGTTTTAAAACTGGTTATCCACATACTAAAGCTAGTTTGTGTATACAAAATTACCTACTTATTACATCTATAAGGTTTTGTACTTGTCTCAACAAGTAAAGACAGCTTGTTATACTAAAATGAGAGTTCTGTGTCGAAATCCAAACAGTCTTATCTCAATTCAGGTTATCTGTTACACAACGCATTATAACTGTAAGGAAACCCAACGTTTCCGGGACATATTTCATTTACAGTCATCTTTAGATGGTGTCTAAGTATTTTAAATGACATATTTGTCAATCATACTAATAGTTCTTGACTCTACTTCAATGAAATAATGAAATGCATATTTTATTGTCTATATATTTTATCATATTGGTCAATACAGATACATTGTATGTCTAATTGGGCAACACGACTAGCTAAGTCTTAACTTTATCTTCTTTAATAGAATCATGTCATTAAAATTTTATTACCTGCACATTCTCTCACGTTGCTCAATTGATGCATGCATATTTTGATTTATTTGTACACTTACATTAATGAATATAGCTAAAATGTTTTAACAACAATCCCTGTACTAAACTCAACGCTTCAGTCGCAGGAATCACATATGTTTTAATACATAGTATTTAACTTAATACAGGAAGTTCATTTATTAATTGACACAACGTACAAAGTATTAACTTAGATAGATAAGAAAATTGATTTGTTAAGATACAAATATTACATTATATAGGCTTAATCACAAATAGAGATTATTAAACCAATGCAACACAATATGGGTAAACCTGCATGAGTGTGCTACAGCAATACAAAATGGCACATAGCTCAGTGTGGAGAATCACTTTAGGAATAAAACACTGATTTTTAGCTATGTTCTCAAGGGTGAATGTACTTAAAATTAAATCTAATTAGACAATATGAAATAAATAATTAATAAAGGAACTTGAAGTAAGAGTTACAGATTAGAGTACCAGAACTTTATAAATACCAAGATATTATAATATAATTTGAGATGTATATGAATACTATAAATAGTGACGATACCGTGTAAAGAAAATTGTTAATTGCAATATTTTTTAATTCAACAAAATCATTCTACAATTTTATTGGCTGCACATTTTCTCATGTTACTCAATTGATGCATCTATGTAGTAAGTTTATTTATTGATCAAACCAGAAGGCAGGTGCTAACGGTTCCTAGTGGCGGTTATTTGTGAATGGTATGATAAAAAATATTTCGTGCGCAACGGTTGATAAAGTCGCTCGCACGTGCCTTTCATGTTATCTTGTTGTGTTTTTTACTTAAAATTAACATATTGTTTATAATTTTAGAACTACAAATGCTTTTTGTATCATTAATTGGTCGTAAAATCTAATATTTATGCGACAAAAATGAAACGGACGCTTCTAGGTAATCTTTTTTTTTAATGAATCTACTCACAATTGAAGGTATTGGAACGTAAGGTAACTGATTTGTATATTTCAATTGAATATTAAACGATATATTTAGCTGCAATGATATAAAGAAAAAGTATAAGGCTAGTGGTTCATAAACTAAGCCTCAATATAATATAATATCTAAACCTATCAAAATTTTTTGGCAGTATGTATGCCAGAACAATTTAAAACTTTGGTCTCCTGAACATTTTACTTCAGTCTGAATGTACCAGCTAGCATCGTACATTATTTCGCATTTCACTAAAAATCAGTTCGCATTTAGTAATATAAGAACGTCTTGCATAGTTTAATATAAAGTTTTAATTATGACTATCTTTTTTTATTATAATTTATCTGAATCTTTTACAGTTTCGGTACAACCCGAACACTTAAATTTCGACAAATTAGGCCTCTACGGCGAGGAGTCTAGACTTCCGCGTTTGGAATAGCACTGCAAATGCGGGCCTAACATTTCCAAGCTGGTGTCTGACTCGACCGCATATTTCCAAGATCAGTAGAACGCTAGAGCATTACGTTGTAAAATTATAGCTTGTAACTATTGAAATGTAAAAATACCGGTTGGCAAATAGTCAGATACACTATGTATGAAACCGGTCTGTAAGCTGTAAGGTCTTCCGCGCTGACTGTGACCTTTGCAAATGCGAATTAGACCTGCCATTCATTAGATACAATGCTCGCAATGTGTGTAAAAATAGCATTCTTACTTTTAGCACTTTTATTATTTATATACTTAATAAAACACTTATATCCTAATCTAGAATATGATCTGTCTATATACCTATAACATTTATTTCCTATATAAATAAATAAAATCCAAGTGTCTGTTTGTAATTTCAAATTAACAGCTTTCATTTAATGCGTCTGAAAGTATATCTGGTATTTAGGTACATAAAAAATCTTAATTAATAATGTTTGTCTGTCTACTTGTCTATTTGCTTTCTTGCTCATCTCAAAAACGTCTGGACCGGTTTTTACGGGACTTTCACTCGCAGATAGATAATGTTATAAGGAGCAACTTAGACTACATTTATTTTAGAAGTTTTATGAATTATAATAAAAAAACACATGGACTAAATGACAGATATCAGCTTTAAATATCTAAAGATTAAGCAAGTTGATGGAGATTAATAAGCTACAATAAAGGAAATCATTTTTTTCTAATAGGTTAGATATAGAATATTTATAGCTGAATAATTTAGTCTGAGTATGCGGACATGCTAAATACCCGGATGGCGTTTTTCATTAATAAAAATCATGTAACAATTTAATTAAATATTATTAGGTTATACAATATAATTAGGTTGTTTAAATAAACTGTTACATATTTTAAAATCTCGAAATTTTAATATAGATCTCCAAGTTAAATGCAATTTAGGAACATAAGGCATGTCTAGACAATTTATTTTTAATAATAACATTAAAGTTTATAGTGTTAGTATTAGAAATAATATTTATTGTACGATTCATTCGAAATGCATTTTCTTTCAAATAAAGGTTGTTCAGAATGAATTTTTTAAGAACTTTGTATTAATACGAACTGACAAATAGCAAAGTTGACGTCCAGAAGCAAATGGTTTTGTGAGTAACAAAATATATCAGTCAGATAGTTATCAGAGCAGACCAGTCCCTGCAATAGATTTCTATCTACTAGAAATATGTTGTTTAAATAATGTTGTTAGTATAGGCTGTAATTATAAACCTTTAAAGATATATTGAAAAGGTCTGGGAGTACTTTTTACAATAATATTAATAGTAAATATCCACTGTTATCAGAAATTAATAAAATGAGTAAACTAGATTCGATGGATATGTCAATTATAGGTACTTAGTTATTTTTTATTCCTGGGAAATTAAAGACTTCTAAAGAATGTTTATGTAAACGAAGTCACAGACATATAGACACAACCTGTTTTTTATCTACTGAGAATAGCAAACAAGTTTATATTTCTAGTTGCAATAGACAAGAAGAGCACCATAGATATCACAATATTATGTTGGCAGTTGCACTACTCGTTTTCAAATTAAAATTAAAAAATATCTTTATTCTTGTAGGTCTATTACAGACTCTTATGGTATGTCAAATCTACCGTCAGTTTATAATGATATAGAGATGAGAAGAACTGACAAGAGATTCAGCTCAGCGTTCCTATTTTTCAGTTATATTTTTTTCTGTATCTTTAATGCAGCTTTACAAGAAATAATTAAGATATTTAGTTAATTTATAATAATAGTATTGATTTAATTTAAAAAAAAGTTTTATAATCCCATTTTGACTATAAAGGTTCTCATTATTATTTGGATTTCTATCTGTATATTGTACAAGAATAGAGAATGGCAATTATGTTGCGTAGTCACAAACAAACCTGTTTCAAAGACGAATGCACTTGAGGTAATAATTTATAGCAAATCTAGAGGCAGGTGTGCCTTGGTTGAACCTCCTTGTGTTGAGATGAAACGGATTCCAATAATAATAATAAATATACTCTGGACATTTAATACAGCGCCATCTAGTCCCACGGTAAGCAGAGTTTGTGTTATGGGTACTAGACAACTGATATATATATATATATATATATATATACTTGGATAGTTTTTTTATAAATACATACATATTATACATAGAAAACACCTAGACCAATACAAACAGTCATACTCATGAATACAAATGTTTGCGCCATGCGAGGAATCGAACCCGAGATCATCAGAAGTAAAGCGGTGTGCTAAACTGATAGACTACCGAAGCCGTCTACTCTCCTATAATAGACTCATAAATTTATCTTAAATGTAAAACATATAAATAGGAAACACTTGATTTTACAGAATTTAAGGCTTTACGACTTGAAGTAATTAATTTATACTTTTTAAACAATAGAGATGCCTCCAGTAATAAAGCGTAAATTTTTTCTTTATAATTTTGACATAAGTTATTATTTTTTTATGAATCGGAATTCCCTAAGTTTTCACTCTACTACCAATCCCTATAAAACCATATTATTTAGTACTGAAATTAATTTATATAGTAAAACAAAGTTTGCGGGTTCAGCTAGTTAGTATAAAAGGTAATTTCCATGCAATTTTTTATAGCTTCAGAAGTTATGACTCAGTGATAATGTTTCTTCTCAATAGGTTTAGGTAGTTTATAGAAAAACAATATTTTCATTGCACCCATGCGAGGCCGGAGCGAGTCGTTAGTGTTATAAATTAGTATGTATTTTACGGTCTCTCTAAAATTAGTAGCGATGTATTACTTAGTTGAAAAACACGTTCCATTACCCATGATTTGGTTGTTGATAGTAAAAATGGTTTAAAGTACATTAAACTCGGTTATAAAGTGCATTAAACCCAGTTACGTGGTACGAATTAACTAAAAGACAAAATTTAAATCACAGTAGAGTTGAAGTAAACACGAATGCAATGGAATGCGTGCATTCAAAACGAAAATAACTACATAC